TCCATATGCTGCCTGTAATGCAGTATTTTCTTTCACAGCAATTTTCTACCAATAGTTTATTCAGAGAAATTTCTAATCTATATAGAAGCTGAAAAGATGCTACAATAAATAAACCTTTATACTTTTCACCTGGATTCATCAACAGTTAACAGAAGCTGGCTTTCTCTATCTACAATTTTATTTTTCTCTCTATTTAAAAACAAGCTGCAAATATCATTACTCTTCATCCCTAAAAACTTCAGAACTATCTCCTAAAAATAAGGACATTCCTCTACATAACTATAATATCACTATCATACCCAAGGGATTTAATGATATTATAGTATCATCATCTGACATACAGTCAATATTCAAATTTATCCAATTATCCCAAAATGTACTTTCACTGAATATGGATGATCCTCATAAGGATCATGAATGGCATTCAATTGTCATATTTCTTTAGTCTTTTTTCATCTAGTCATCCTTAGACTTTTTTTTTTTTAAGTCTTCTATACTGTCATTTTTCAAGAGTCCAGTCCAGTTATCTTGAAAGAAGCCACAATCTGGCATTGTTAATTGATTATTCATGACAGACTCATGTCTGACATACCGGTAAAAAGTCTGCATGGGTGATGGACTTTCCACTGTTTCATATCACGAGGTACACAATGTGGGTTTATTCCATTATTGGCTTGATCACTTGGTTTAGGTGCTGTTGATGTTCTGTGTACTCCTAAGACTACAATGACCAAATAGCAGCTTTACATTTAGTGAAGCTATAATGCACTTAGTGCCTAAGGCACTTGACTGCTCACCAGAAGGCTGGCGGTTCAAACCCACCAGCCACTCCTCGGAAGGAAGGTTGGGCAATCCTACTTCCGTAGTGATACTGCCTCGGAAACCAAGGCAGGGGTCACTATGAGTCGGGGCCGACTCGATGGCAAATAACAACAACAACAACAACATAATGCACTTACGTACAATACGTAAAGAAATGTTTTTAGTGACATAACTGCAACAGTGTGCTAACGGTGACTATATTATTTTACCAGGTTTTCCCCCCACTATCCCAAAATAGAAGGAGCTCTGGTGGCGTAGCACCTAAGGCATTTGACTGCTAACCAGAAGATTGGTGGTTCAAACCCACCAGCTACTCTGTGGAAGGAAGACTGAGCAATCTACTTCTGTAAAGATTTACCGTCTCAGAAACCCGATGGGAGGTCGCTATGAGTCAGAATTAACTCAGTGAGTATCTCAAAGTAGAGCATTGCTACAAAACCTTTTATAAGTCAAAATGGTATAAAGGAGCTATGGGGGTACAGTGCCTAAGACATCTGACTGGTAGCCAGAAGGCTGGCGGTACAAACCCACCAGCCACTCCATGGAAGGAAGACCTGGCAATCCATTTCCATGAAGATTGACCACCTCAGAAACCCAATGTGGGTTGCTATGAGTCAGAACTGACTCAATGGCAGTGGGTTTTTGGTTTGGTATAAAGTGAAGAAGCAATTATTAATTTATTTGGAAAAGAATTTTAAACATTGCCAGACCCAAAATATAACCTACCAAATCATACCAAATAACACATAAAACCTAAAATAACACTAATACCCAGTGTTCACAGACTCAGTTCCAGGCTATTATGGCTTGCACAGTGCCTGGGGCCTGGGGCCTTAAAAATTTGGAAGCAGCCATCCATGTCACAACAACTGATCTCTATTCACCTGGAATAACAGAGAAAGAAGGTGAGTCAGGCATAGGAGGAGGATGTAGAATGTGTGGCTAATAGCCTCCATGAAAAATTGCCTCTTTTGCCATGAGACTAGAGAAGTAGATGGTGCCTGACTACCATTATTGAACATTGTGGTCAAAGTTGTTGTTGTTGTTGTTATGTGCCATCAAGTCAAGACCTGATTGAGAGTGACCCCTCCTTGAGTTTCCAAGGCAGTATCACTACAGAAGCAGAATGCCCAACCCTCCTTGTGAGGAGTGGCTGGTGGTCAAAGATTCCATAGAAAAACCTTGATCAAAAGGAGTACCACCAGCCACTCCATGGAAGGAAGACTGAGAAATCTACTTCTATAGAGAAACCACCTTGGAAACCCAAGGAGGGGTCGCTATGAATCAGAATCAACTCAATGGCAGTAAGTTTGAGTTCTGGTTTTTGCTATGTATATCCTCAACAACAACAACAACAACAAAATAAGCAAAATTTAAAGGAAAAAAAAAAAAAAAAAAACCTATGGCAGCGAGATGCTGAGTGTAGTTTCCACGGAAGGAGCTTAGAAAAAAAAAAAAAAAAAAACCTATGGCAGCGAGATGCTGAGTGTAGTTTCCACGGAAGGAGCTTAGCTCTCGCTGCCTGGGATGCACCACTGCCCCTTTAACAGCTTGTTGCAAAACAAATGCTAAACACTAGTTTCACTTTTTATCTTTTTTTTTTTTAATTAAAGCAAAAATCCTCTTCAGATTTCTTTCAGTTAGCAAAAACAAGTACTGATTTAGGTCTTTTGTAAAAGTAAAGTGGCCAAAGTAAACTTTTGAATAGTGGTGGAATCTTGTACAGCTGACACTTGAACAACATGGGTTTGAACTGTGTGGGTCCACTTACACACAGAGTTTTTTCAAGATATGGATCTTGGAGAAATTCAAGAGGTAACAGACACCACACGAGAGGAATGAACAGAAGACATCTTCATGGAGATGAATGCTTCTGAACCAGTGCCACACAGTGAGGAAGAAGACGTAGAAGCAGCAGTACCAGAAAACAAACTGACATTAGGTAATCTGGCAGAAGTGTTCTGATTATTCAACACTGGTTTTTTTTTTTAATCATAAAAGAAGTATCTTTTATGATATGGACTCTTCTATGATAAGGGCACTGAAACTAAAGTAAACGGTGAAGGAAGGATTGGTACTGTAAAGAAATATTTTTTAGTGAAATGAAAAAGCAAAAAGTCAGACAGAAATGATGATGTATGTATTACTACACAAAACATTGTTCCACCTCCTACTTTGGCGAGTAGCGACTGGGATCTTAAAAGCTAGCAAGCTGCCATCTAGATGCA